CCACTCACTGCATCACCAGCCAGCAGAGGAAGAATATGTCCCTGCTGAGCTCCTGTGCCAGGACAAACTTGGAGGTATGGACTGGGGCCGAGGGGTAGGAGGAGCCCCCGGGTCTTGGGCATGACCACTAAAACTGCACTCTGCCAGGGTCGGGAGGCCTGGTTGGCCTGCCGGGAGCACAGCAGCCCCAGGAAATGCCAGGACCAAAGATCCACCTTGGTGAAAGGTGGGTAGGAGGTACCATAAGTTCCAGTCACCACACGCTTGGACACAGTTCTACCTGGGGAAAGCCCAAACCTGTCAAGTCTTTGACAGGCCTGAGGCTTGCTGGAGCAGTGGAGCTGTGAGGCTTCAGGTGAGCTAAGCTTAGGTGCCTGGGATGCCAGCTTCCATGTTGAAAAACCCTCTGTCAGGCTGAGGAAGCACCTGCAGTTGGTGTGTGTGCTCTTCCTGGATGGAAGGAATAGTAAAGAAGCCAGAGGCTGGCATGCAATGCAGGCAAGAAAGTCAGTCAGTGAAAATGGAAATGGATGCGTCAGGGGGTAAGGGACAGGCTGGGGGAAGGGGGATGTAGCAGGTAGAAGTGGAGAGGTACCTGGGGAGTCAGATGTCCAGCAGGTTGTAATGTGTCAGAATTCCAATGTCCATATTGAGTCCATGAGTTTCTGTACCTAGGAGGCTGATGAAATGCAGTTCATAGGCTTGTCTGTGAAAAGTGGTTTTCACTGACTATCTTTTTTGCCTGCATTGCATGCCAGCCTCTGGCTTCTTTACTATTCCTTTGTCTTCAATAGATTTTTTGATGTGCATTCATTCTGGTGTGCAGTTGTTGCTTTGTGTCTCCTACATATTTTCCATCAGGGCACTGATGGAGATCTGTACTGTATTGTGAAGATACCTCCATACTGGAGATATTGTTGGCAGGTTTGCATGTCTTGTCATGGCATGGCCTGGATCTGTTCATTGTGTTTTGGGCTGTAGGAAGTTGGCTTCTGGTGATGAGGTTAGCAAGGTTCAGTGCTTGTTTGAATTTACAAACCACTTTTCACAGATGAACCTATGAACTGCACTTCATCAACCTCCTAGGTAGTAGGTACAGAAACTCATGGACTCAATACAGTCATTGGAGTTCTGACACACTACAGCCTGCCAGGCATCTGACTCCCCAGGTACTACTCTGCTTTTACCTGTGGTGCTACATCCCTCTTCCCCCTCCCCCCCCCGTGAGTTTTGCTTTCAAGATTTGAGGTGCAGTTTCCCAGAAACCCCTGCACCAATCTCCTTGAAACTTGGCAGACTTCATACCCTCAGAAGGGGCTACCATCCTTGCTGTCTTCATCCAAATCTGCCAAAAAGTACAAAGTTGTAGGCAGTTTCATGCTTCCCCATTATAACCTATGGTCGAAATGTCTAAATAGCATTGAAATAGTGAAACAGTTTGAATGAAATGAAATGGAATAGTGCTTTTGAAACAAAACAAAACTTGAAACGAAACACTGTTCCGGTGTAACAGCGAAATGGAAGTCGAAATGAAACAGTGCTGTTTTGCACAGCCCTAGTAGTCAGTGGTATGTATAGATTTTAGTCCTCTGCGTGTAGCAAATTCTTTAGCAAAAGTAGGAACAATGTTTAAAAAGAGATCATCTGCACAACCAAAGTATTTTCTGTTTAAATTACACGTGATGGAAGGATGTGTGTTACAAGCTGGCAGAACTCTAAAAGTGTTGGAACTAGGCATGCTTCAAGTACTGTTGGTGTGCTTCTGCACTTTTGGCTAGTACAGACATCCTTCTTTGGCCATACTAGGGGTTTTGTTGTTTGTTTCAGTTAAAGCCTGAGCTGGTGGCAATATGCCATAGAATTTGGCACTGTTACTTCAATTACAGGACATCTCCAAAACTCAGGATGCTGTTCTGAGAGCAGGGGATTATTATAATCAGTTCCTCGTTGTCCGCTTTATTTAATACCATTTATTTATGGTGCCATTGAAACCTGAATTTCTTTGCAGCAACTACTGAAAAAATGTCACAAATATTAACTAATGTTCCTTCCTACCTGAGAATCCCCTGTTTGGTTGGAAACTTGTATCATGCTTATTTTACAGTGAACACTTGACACACAGTAATGATTCTCTGTCCTGGGCAGGATTGGAACAAGTGACCTAAGAAAGACAGTCTTTGTCCCTTCTTCCATTTAATTGAACTGTTCAGGTTCCCTTAACAAAGCACAAGCAAGAGAGCGTGATGGTCTTGTGAGCTGTGAAATGTTGTCTCCACTTGCGTCAATCGCACCTAATGTATAATTTGCAAGGCTAATTTAGGAGATTCTGTGGTGCAATAGCTCTGATTTTATACTCTTTGGGCCAAGTACTAAGAAGAGGAAGGCTTGTACAAAATGTATTTGACTAGAAAACACAGGTTGGCTTTGTGGACATTCAGGGCTCAGACAGAAGCGATAATTTTCGCCCTATCTGGCCACAGAAAGAAGTTTGTAGCTGTGACCAAACACAAATACACAGTTGCAGACAGCTTCAAAAATGCCTGGTCAGGTGAAACTCTCACCCCCCATTGCATAAGGTATCAGATAAAGACATTTCAAAATGTAGCGTCTTTTGTACTTTGTGTCTGCAGAGTCACAGTCCCTTTTTATTTGCTTTCCACAAACATTTCTTCAAGTGAATTTTGATCAAAAGCATGTCATGAACTCTCATGCAAATATGGACTCTGTATTCCCAGTCTGACTGGAAACAGGAAAAATAAGAAATCTCTGAAGGGGTTTTTTCACTTGAGATTTCCAGCCCAATTTTGGATAAGACTCAGCTAAACATGGGCCCTCAGCTCTGAGCAGCAGCAAGGCTCAAGCTTAGCATAGCTCATGAAAAATAAGGGGGACTGTTGGACACCATCACATATTCTGGAAGAGGATTGTACTGATTCTCAATGTAAATTAGAGCAGCCCCAGGGACTCCTCTAATCTATGGTCATTGCCAAAGCCTGCTACAAGCACCACAGCAGTCCAGTGTAGCAACATATTGGCACTATGGGTGTGAGGGGGCAGTAATCAGAAGGTCTCTCTCCCGTGCCTGTATCGGCTATTACACGGGAATTCTGAAGTGGCTGGGTTTACTGGATCCTCATCTAATGAATGAAGAAAGGGATTATTAGCCAAATGATCAAATCTCTTGAACCCAGTAAGGGTTGATAGTGATCAGTCAGGGTCATCAAATAAACACTGTAGTTATATTGTCCAAGCTGAAATATTGACATTCTCCCACCAATAATATTTACATTACTGTATTATGTATAACATATTTCTGAATGATGTTTGGGGTAGCTTGTTGATAGCCACCATGCATTTCTGGTGTAGAGGGGGAGGTGGCAGGGACAAATTTTGTGATGGAGGAAAAGAAATTGTTTTCTTCTTAGAGTAAGCATATGCCTTAGATTAGAGGAAGAAATCCCAGCATATGAATTCATAGCAGCAAAATGGGGAGGAGTTGTCATTGCCATTCCTGTCTGCGCTCTAGAACCCTTAAACAGGGCAAAACTGGAGTAATTTAAAACATTTTCAGTTATGTTCTGAGGTCACAATCAAAAAACCAAAACTTTACATATAACTCTTTGGAGAGGGAGGAATGAATTAACCAACCAAATCCAGTTTTCATTTTGCAGTTCTGCAAGCAGGTGGAAAAGAATGGCAAGTGAACAACATTTCTTTAAGTACAAATTATTTTTAAAAGATTCCAGCAGATTATTTTCATTAGTGTCATAAAATAATTCTGTTTGATATCACCCTCCAGAAGTTTAAGTGGGTATCGGTCCAAACATAAGTTGAATGGACATTTAGGAAGTGTGAAGTGATGTTTTTGGAAGAAGAGAATTCTAATAAAAATGCAGTGCTTTGAACATTATTGACAGGGTAGCATATTAGAAAAGACTGAGTAAAATGCAATCCAATGAAGAAACTGGGCACAAAAAGAAAAAAAATAAATTACATTAAAATGCCACCCTTTCCATTCACCCCCGGTCAGATTCCCTGTATGTTTAAATAAAAAAATCTACATGGTGTATTTCATCTGAATGGCAAAAACTGAAGGAACTATTTTGGGTCTAGCTTCCTACAGAAAATATCTGGAATTTATGAAATCCCATGTTGAAGGTACTGTAGAGAAAGAAAAGAAAAAAGAAATGCAATATAAAGTGTCCAACTGAAGTACACTGTCTGCGGAAACATTTGGCTCATAGTTTGGATTGGCCTGGGAGTTTCCATAATTAAAATGATGTGCTTGTTGCTTGGGGATCACAGATTAGATTAAATATATATACAAACTCAGATTAAATTTATACAGTTCCACATAATTCATGTACACATTTTGATTTTTGGGGCTCTAATGGAAAGTTGTTCCTAAGGCCTTTTGTGAGTAGCTACATTTTTTGTGTGTGTGTTTGTATTACTTAAAAGACCCATTGTTTTATATGGCGTACAGAGTGAGAGACCATCCATTTATTGAAAAATTATTACTTCAAACTGCCAATGCTATCAGAGAATGGGAGGAAAAACAGCATCGAACATAGGAAGCGCCTTGCTCAAGGCGACACATGTCAGGAGCAGAACTAGAATTAGAATCCAGGGCATCTGATCCTCTGGCCCTATCCTCTATACAATGCCACCTGGAAACATGAAGTGCTTAATTTCAGTGAAAGGTGTAAGTGTTTGGCAGGAGTCAGAAGGCCCACAGCATCTTTCATAATCAGGCCATTATTTTGTTCCGAGTTGGTGGGGGACCTATGGCTGGTGGTCCGTCATGCATACATTTCAAATAACTAGTTATACTCTAGAAATCATGTTACTCGTTGGTACACACAGCCAGGAGCAGTCCCAGAGGGGGTGTAGGCATTGTTGCACCCCGCTTCAGACTGGACTGTGCCATGGGAACCTCTGGGAACTTTTTTCAAGTCCCCAAGGCAGGTGAGAATCCCTCCTCTCTTCTCCATGCTCAGAGACATGTTCTCCCTCTCTCTCCCCCCCCCCCCCCCCCCACCCCAATGTCCCGTGTCTTTTCCTCCCTTGTTCTGGCTGCCACTGCTGCTTTTTCCTCTGTCCCTGAAGTGGAGGAAGCTTCAGATCTGCTCCTGTCCACCCCAGCCAGGCTGCGCAGACCTGGGCTCAGTGAGGACAGCAGCAGTGGTGATGGGTGAGGAGGTGGGATCCTACCTCTCATCCATGGTTGCTGCCACTGTAGCTGTCCCAGATGAGCCCAGCCTCTGCATGGTCTGGCTAAAGGGCAGGAGTGGCTGGGGGACTTCCCCCCTCCCCCCACCGTAGGGGAAGCA